AGTGGCCGGGGCTGGGGCCCACGCTGTGTCCTGGCCAGCTCCGACACCTCTGCCCTTTCTTCCAGCTGACTGCAAGTACAAGTTTGAGAGCTGGGGGGGCTGTAGCGCTCAGACAGGTGTTAAGACTCGCTCTGGCATCCTGAAGAAAGCCCTGTACAATGCCCAGTGTGAGGAGATCGTCTATGTGACCAAGCCCTGCTCTTCCAAGATCAAGTCCAAGTCCAAAGGTCAGTCCCCACTACTCCTCTCCCCAAAAGGGTCCTGCTGGGACCCCAGGCAGAGGCTTTTCAGGGGTAGCTTGGCCCGTCGGGGTTGGGCTTTGCATGGTGTATCATATAGAAGCTCTTCTTTCTGCATCAGCACATTTGACAGCCCCAAAGTCCAGCTGCAGGCTGAGTGGGATGTAGGTGCTGCTAGGAAAAACCTGACATGTGTCCCCAAGTCACCGCATGCTTTGCTGGGGTGGGGATTTCCCCGTGTCCTCAGTGGGGCTGCTGAGAAACGTGGCTTTGCGTGGTGGGAGGGAGGCTGCCCTCAGGGATGCAGCCACTGTTCTGCACCAAGCTGGCTACATTTCTGCCACGGCAGCTGCGAGTGGACACACTAACTCTTGTCTCCTCTGCTTTTTGGGTGCAGCAAAGAAGGGCAAGGGGAAGGACTAGAGCGGGAAGCCAGCATCCTCATCAGCCCCTCGACACGGTGCTCACAAGGCTTGATGCCCAGCACAGCCAACCTATGCTCCAGTCTTCCTCCTCCTCTCCTTCCTCCTTTCCATGACCTCCTCTTTCACTGAGATGCCTTATCTGAATCGCTAGTGTTGTAGAGAGCAAACTGACCCACCCCACAGGAGGGGCTGCCCCACTGCCAGTGTCCCTGCGTCCCAATTGCCTCCTCTCAGCTGGTGTCAGGGCTTGCTGGGATGGACCTGGAGAGGTGAGATGGGAACACACATTTTTCCACCCTCCAGCACAAAGGAGTTGCCTTCAGCGCATCCTTTCACAAGCCTGGGAGCATCCTTGCTCCTCCACCAGCCACTGATACCAGAGGGAAGTGTTGGGTGTTGAATGCCCCCATCACTCATGCCCCTTACTCATTGTGAGGACTGCTTTCAGCTCAGGGGGCTTCTTCCAGCATCCCTTTGACCAGGGCACGACTTCGCTGCATCAGTCGGGTTAAAACAAAGCCACCACCCCCAGGGAACAACTGTGTCCCCTCTCCTCCATCACTTCTAACCATGTGTGTCCATGCTGGGGCTGCAGCCCCTCTGCCTTTGACGCCCCAACACTGGTGCTAGGTGGGAGCTCTCACTTCTTTTGGAAAATGGGGTTTGTTTTCTTTTCCAATAAAAATCTTTTTAAAAATATGGAAACCCACCTTGTCATCCCCACGAGGTGCTGTTGTGCTGCAAAGCCCAGCCTTGCTGTCCCCACCGGGACCAGCTTGGGTGCCACAAGCACATCTTTGAGAGGGTGTGTGGGTTGGGCCTCCTGGCCTCACAGCACTGGTCTCAGCAGGAGGGATGGGGCTGCCACCCATGCGTTGCAGGAGATGTCACCAGTGGGTGACACGGGGGAGGTGGGGAGGAGCGTCCAGGTGATGATGCTGTGGCCACTGGTTTCTGGTCTGAGGTCTTTATTTGTCTTGGTGTGGGTTGGGCCATGGTTGTAACAATTTTAAAAACAAACAAACAAAACAAAAGCCCGCCAAGCATTTTGGGCACGGCTATGTGAATTATCCTAAAGGCAATGGCGGGGGCAGGAGGGGTCCCCATGTGGGGCAGGGCAGCCTTTCTCCAGGTTGTGCAGCATCACCCCGTGTGGGGACGGGGTACGGACGCGTGGACACAGTGTGCCAGTGCCAGCATGGCCCCGTCCCCTCCCTCAGCTACCCCCAGCCATGCCCACCAAGGCTTGCAGGGCCCCGGCTTTGGCAGAAGCTGAGGAGCAGCCCCAGGGTGGTCTGGGCCACTCACACAGGTGGGCTGGGGTGGGGCTGGAGATGCTGAAGCCCGCATGCTGAGGGCTCTGCCACAACACCGATGACAGGGTTACATCCATTTACAAAGCTCGGCAGCTGGCTCCTTTGGGGCGTCCCCCACACACCTAGAGCAGGAGTGGCGCTGGGGGCCACCACTGTCTTCTCCTACCCCTGGAGCCCTGCATCAGGCCTCCCACACCCACCATGGGTGAGCAGGGACCGGCTCATAGCCCAGATGAGACACAGGGCACCTCAGCCACACTGCAGACCCTCGTCCCAGACCCCCTCTGGGTCCCCTCTGGGACCCCCAGCTCCCCTGTCCCTCCCAAGGACAGTTATTTTAGCTGTTGCTGCTGCCCACTTCTCAGGAGCTGCCTTCCCCCGAGGCCGTGGAGAGAAGTCCTGCACCACACCACTGCCTTTCATTGCAGTTTAGGTTTCCATCGTTGCAGGAGGCGACTGGGTTTCACACTCCTCACCCAGGAGTGAGATGCTTGGTTTGTCTGTGCGTCTGTCCAGCCAATTGCTGGCCGAGGGCAGAAAGGGCATGAAGGGGAGAGCGAGGCTGAAGCCTAGGGAAAAATTCCACCCCACTGGTCCTCAGGTGAGGATGTACGATGGGTGTCTCTCAAATAAAAGGAAGGAGCTTGCCATAATCTTGACTGTCTCAGGAGGCGGCCTGGCTGGGCCAGCAATACTCTCCATGGGCATGGCCAAGCCAGCCTGGTCCAAGATGGCTGGCAAATGTTTGGCCATGGTTTCTTTACATTTCTTGGGTAATACACAGTTTAAAAGCCTAGTGAAAGCATCCAGCTTGTGGCTGTCTGCATGCAGACAAGCTCTGATGCCCTGGACACCAGTAAGCCAGGTGGAGAAGAGGCATCCAGTCTTGGGAAAAAACACTGATGCCATTTGGTCAGCCTCTCACGGGCAGGGAGCCAGGGAAGGCTCCTGGCGACCACATCTCCTCCTCTTGCCTTCAACTTTCCTGCTGGCTCCCTCAGCTAGTCCCCAGGCCCGAGGTGACTGGGGTGCAGCTCCCAGATGCCTTGGACTTTTTTCAGCATTGGACGAAAGGCACCAGCTGCAATCACTGCACAGTCTGCACTGTTGTGAGTGGGGAGCAGACGACGCCCCACCGGCAAAGGAGGCAAAGGGAAGGGCTTCCATAATGTTGCTGAAGTTGTCCCTGAGTGCCAGTTTACCTGGCTGTGCCAATGTTCCTGTACTGGCACATAAGAAGGTGCTTGAAAGTTTTCTTGAAAGTGGCATTGCAGAGGGCGTAGCAGGCGGGGTTGATGGTGCTGTTGACATAGCAGAGCCAGTAGCCGATGGACCACACTGTTTCGGGTACACAGGTCTCACAGAAGGTGTTGATGAGGACCATCACGTTGTACGGAGTCCATGTAAGTATGAAGGCTAGCAGGATAGCAAATATGGTGCGGGTGACTTTCTTCTCCCGGGCTGCCATCTGGCGCTTCTTCCGTACTTGGCTCCTGGCAATGCTAGCAAACTTCCTGGCAACGTTGACTGGACGGCTGTTGGCCAGGGAGTTGTGGTCAGAGCCTCCTGCCTTAGCTGGGACGATCTCAATGGCAGTGACACATTCAGTCCCCGTCTGCTTGGTAACGATCTTGATCTTGGACCACTTGGAAGATGGGTTCACCCGGGGCTGGGATGGGGTCTGTCCTTGCCCCGCAGGCAAGATTTCTGCTGTGGGCTTGTCTTTTGTGGTCTGGGTCATGCTGACAGTGCTGGACTCATTGGAGGTCTCCTTCTCCTCCTGATGGCCAGTGGCCTCTGTCTGTGCTGAAGGCTGGTCATCCACTTTCCCATTCCTCACCTCTTCCTTCACTTCCACAGCCCTCTTCGGGGAGTTATTGTTGTTCTGTTTGATCAGGGGGCCCTTGAAGAACCTGAGGGACTTGTTTTTCATCTCTTTCCTGCTTTCGGGCTTGTGCCTCCTCACCCTGCTCCTGCTGGCCAGGGAGATGTGGATGTACAGCACCGTCATGATGACCACAGGCAGGTAGAAAGCAGCAATGGCTGTGCCGAAGGTCACTGCAGGGTTTGAGAGGAACTGGATGTAGCATTCCCTCTCAGGGACTGTTCTCTTGCCCACAATGAACTGCCAGAACAAGATGGCAGGGGCCCAGAGAATGAAGGACAATATCCACGCGGCCGCGATCATTAGCCCCGCCATCTTGGTGGTCCTCCTGGCTGGGTATGTCAGGGGTTTGGTGACACAGAAGTACCGGTCAAAGCTGATGATGAGCAAGTTCATGACAGAGGCATTGCTCACCACGTAGTCCAGGGCCAGCCACAGGTCGCACACCACAGCGCCCAGCGGCCAGTAGCCTTTGATGATGTAGACCGTGTAGAGGTTCATGGAGAAGACCCCAATGATGAGGTCTGCGCAGGCCAGGCTGAAGAGGAAGTAGTTGTTGACAGTCTGAAGTTGGCGGTTCACCTTGATGGACAGCATCACCAGGATGTTCCCCACCACAGTGACAAGGCTGAGCGAGCCAGTGACCGTAGCAATGAAAACGAGCTCCACCGTCTTGTAGTTGGTGGGAGGCTGTATGGCCACCTCAGAGTGGTTGCCCAGGGTGAAGTTGTCGTAGGTCAGGTTGGCCATCTTTGCCTGCCAGGGCTGAGCAGAGAGGTTGTGCATGGGGTCTGCAAGAGGAGGAGAAAAGGAGAATATCATACCTGCCAGCCTGTGCTGGCAGCACTTCCTCCCTCCTCAGTTTCCCAGGCCAGCACTGCTCTTGGCTGATGCTTAGAAATCTCATGGTGTTACTGGGTTTCACAGGTGGGCTGGGAAGGAGACACATGGGGCTGCAAGGAGAGGGCAAGGCTGGGGACAGCCCTTTGGCCAGGGTTGATGGTGCCTTCTCTGCAGGGCCAGGAACCACCTCCCAGCAGGAGCACATCCCTGGTGTGCCCTGGGAAGGCACACAGAGAGGCTGAGGGGCTGCAGGAGGAAGGGGGCTGCGAGCCAAGCGGGGCACAGCACTCGCTGCAAGGACAGGATGGCGTGGAGCTGGTTTAGGGTATGACCCAGGCATGGCCCACTGGCCTCCCCATATCACCTCCCCAAGAGGTGGCTACCCCACAAAGCCCATACCATGGTCTGCTCAGCTCACCTGTGTCTCTGGCAGCAAAGCGCTCCTTCTGGAAGATGAAATCTAGGACAGGGAAAAGAGCAAGTTACATTACAGCTTCAGCCCCAAGGAGTTTGTGCAAGTCCCACATTGTACTGGGAGGTACCAACTTTCCCAACAGAGGTGGCCGTGACAAAAGGGGTGACAAGGCTCAGAGGCAGATGCTGAAATGGGGTAATTTGGCTGTCCCTGGGTCACAGTCCAGCCCCAAAAAGGGTGCAGGAGAGGGAAGAGGCCACACAAATGCATCAGCCAGTGATGCCAGCAAATGCTGGTCCCTTCCCCAAGTCTCACATCACGCTGCAGCTGCAGCCACGCCAGCCATAGAGGTGTATGGGGTGAAGCCAGCCGCCTCAGCCTGCTACATGGAATTATTTATTGCAAGAATTATGGACAGAGAGACTGCCTTCTCCCAAACCAAGATGTCTGCAATTAACCCCCCAAGGTAAGAGGAGCATGGAGCTTAAAAAAAACCCCAAAACAGTGGACGAAAATTGATGTCTTGGGCTTAAGAGGAA